GAATCTAAAGCATTTCGCATAAGTTCGTCATAGTTCATTTTTATATGATTTTCTCATGTTTTATTATGCATCGAGTGTTTTATTTAATTAATGGGGATGCAAAGAAAACTACGAAACAGAATCTATCAATTTTAATTTATGAAGGGTAATCTTTAAAGACAACAAAACTCTCATCATTTTTCCCATCCCACTACTCGAGGACGCATGTCAAGAGAAAACAGATAAAAAGATGCATCAAATTCCCTTCAGGCCACAGGGCTTATGAACAAGCACAACAAAATGATGCCGGATGTGCTGGAATTACAAATGGTCGAAATTCGGTCGATGGTGACAGATACAAAACTAGAAAAGAATAACTCTCCATATCTTTTATTTCTTCCTACTATTTCTCTGAGAAGCAACCCCCTTTGAAAACCTGTCATACAAATCGTAGACAATCGTACTATTAATACAATTATACCGAAATACCACAACGAAAGGAAAGAGACGTTTGGATCGGGAAAGAGAGAAAAAAGAAAGAAAGATGAAGCATACGTCCTGCAACCCTAACCTGATTACAAGTTTGCAAGTGGGTTGTACTGCGGACTTGAAAAGCATTTGGAAATTAGAGAGCCTGAGAGACTCATGGCCAAGCATCTGGAGACACTCTTTCACTGACTGTAGAACCGTAATTTGGGCCACCCTTGCGAAATTGGATAAGATACTCAATAGGGTAACCCTTCAGCTTATGGGGCACAAGTCCAAGATCACTGAATGTCAAAGCTACAAAGAGCACCACAAAATTGAGAAAATGAGAAAACCTACCAATCATAGGGAAAAAAAAGGGGAAGACGGAACTACCACATCCTAAAATTTATTAAACTTACCATTTTCTGACACAAGTGTATCTGTAGCTTGGGCAAGGATTTGATCTCGGTTGAAGATTTCAGGATTAGGTAATGGAAATGGAACTTTGTTGAGCAATATTTCTCGTGGAGCTCCCATTGCCTGGAACAATCAAATCCATAAACATTGGCGGTCAAGTTGATAAAAAAAAAAAAGGTCGTACCCAGTGCACAAGGCTCCCGCTTTACGCAGGGTCTGGGAGAGGTGAATGTCGGCTAGCCTTACCCCCATTTTATGGAGAGGCTGCTCCCAAGTCTCGAACCCGAGACCTACCGCTCATGGGCGAAGGCGGTCAAGTTGATAAAAATAATTAAAAAAATAAAAAAGGCATACATAGGCATGCCTCTAGGATATTGAGACCAGGCAACTGACATGATCATAAACACATACACAAGACATGATCATTAAACAACATTGAAGTAACACCATTATATTTATTTCGGTGTGGGGGGAGGGGTTGAGCTTGGCTCTTACGACTGATTACAGATTACTCTTGGCAACCAAACACACTTGCATTATCAAGATTAACTGTTTACCTTTGCAATTGGGAGAGGAACCTTCACGTAGCGAGGCCATTCACGGATTGTATCAAACATAAGCTCTGCCTGCAGTCCTTGGGTGCTTAGTAAGAGAAATTTCATGTCAATGCAAAACAACTTACAGATGGGAAATTACCAATTGATGCATTGTAAAGACCTCAGGCCCACCAAGTTCATAAATTTTTCCCATGCTGGTACCATCATCTTTCAAGGCTGCCACGATTGCCCCAGCAACATCAACAACATATACCGGTTGGAATCTGCATGGAAGTTATTGCAAACAAAATATCCAATGAAGGTTCATAAAAAGATATGTGCATGAGCAATTTTGTTAAATTACAAAATTTGAAAAATTAAAATAAATTGGCATTCAATTGATAGATTGAAGGCATACTTCGTAGATCCATCCCCAATAAGCGGAAGAAAGCCATATTTTTTTGCAAAAAAGGCCCAGCGATTCAAAATCCGATCCTCAGTACCAACCATCACAGCAGGTCTCAAAATGGTGGCCTATTGATGAAAGTGAATGTTAGACACTGCTCCTTTAAATAAGCATGCCAACATACAAGAAGGACAGGAAATAACTCTACCTCAGGCAATTCACTTAAAACAGCTTCCTCTGCAGTAGCTTTAGTACTTAAGAATCTGGAGGGGGACGAGGAAGATGCCCCCAAGCAAGAAACTTGAATAAATCTCATGATACCCCCATGTTCTTTGGAAATCTGCAAAATATAGAGATTAAAAAGAAGACCGATATGTGTCTAACAACAAAACCTGAATAAATGACATCCAACTTTTATATCTCCACTAGTTGGATATTGAACAGAATTTCAGATCCCGAAAGACACTTCTATCTATCTTGAAAGAATAGTCCAATTGCAAGCAGGCTAAATAGCTGCATCGCATACTGCAACTTGTGTGTAGAAGTGTATTATACACAACAAACTATCGTAACTGTCAAAATAATCTTGATAAACACTTTTTTACTACTTTTGTTAAGGATGATGCTTTGCTTACCAACTTTTAAGAGAAGTAGATGGCAGTAGGATCAGAAGCAACACAGGAACGAAAATAATGTCATGAATGTCAATGCAGGATACCTACCGTTGCCAGTTGTTGTGCCATGGAATGATTCACTTCCTCAAAGCTAAAGTTTCTTGTCTCAAAATCCCTCCCTGCCAAGCTACAAAGTGTTCCTTCATTGAATCCAAAGATTAAAGTATCTTTAATATATAAAGTCACGACTCAAGAATGCATACCAATGAGATTGATAACCACGTTTGCTTTTGCCATGACTGCCTTAATTGAATCTTCATCTCGCGGATTGTATTTCATTGGTACTATCTGAGTAAGTGAAATGTGAGAACATCAGGAACATAATAATTGAAGAATGGAGAAAATTACTTCCCCAGTCAAGAAGGAACATTAACTAAGAAACAGCACAGATAACCCTACCTGTCCCAAATCCCCCATTAACTTGAGGTGACGATGGGAGTCCTCAGAACCACGGAAAGGAACTAACACCTGACTTCCCATTTTGGCTGGAATAGAAGTAAAGAATCAGCACGAGCATGCATGATAGATACTATAAACACTTAGGGGATGTTTGGTATTCTTCTTGAATCTGATTTTTGAAAACTATAAATTATCCTCAAGGTAAATGCCAAACAATCCATTATACTTCTGTCATTTTTTCAAGGATAAAATACAAAATCACACTTCCCCAGATCAAGTTCAGTCCAACAATCACCTACTAGAAATGTTCTCAATCATAACAATCACAGTCTAAAACAATGCATACATGCAATTCAATGGAATTCCAATTAAAAGCATTTATTGACAGTTAGCTCACCAAGTTGTTGCACAAGATAACGCCCAAGGAACCCCGTAGATCCAAAGACTGCAGCAACAATGCCACTGAAAAAAGACAGATTATTTTCTGAATAACATAAACAACACAATCATGTGAAACACGTACAACCGAGTTTTGATATGTATGTTTGCTGGGTTTTCTCTATCTGCATAGTTAAAGCATTATTAGCACATTATCTTCACTCTTCCCCTGGCACATTCATATAACATTTTTGTTTTCTCAAGAATTAAGCTGGTTATTTAGCTTCTTAAAAGTTGCATTCCACCTCCAATGACAACTTTACTTACTGAGAAAAAAATAAGAAATCTATCCTACCCTAATGGGCTCATATAGTTCATATATTCGATAAAAGAAATAACTTCGACAAAAGGTTTACTTTTCCTACCCTTTCCCTGAAAACTAACGGAGCAACAACAATTAAACATTCTAACTCTTTCAATAATATTCAATGCAGTAAAATCAATTTCGATAAAAAATTCTAACTTTTCCTACATTTTCTAAGAAAACAAACGGAGCAACAACAAAAGGCTTCAACTTTCCAGACTGATTGACGCGTAACGAGAAATGAAAAATTGGAGGGTTACCTAACAGATGATCTTCCACCTGTTCCCTTGCGCACAAGGTGCCCCACTCCCTTGGTGGCGAGGGTAGATCCGTATTTTGGACGATCAGCTCCATAATCTACAAAATTGACAAATTGAGACCACCAAATTAGGGGGAATTCGAAAATCAAACCCTAGAAATGGAGAGAAATGAGGGATTTTTACAGTGATCGGAAAGGGGGTAAATTGACTTGAGCGACGAGATGGAAGATGATTGGGTCAGATACTGGTGCCCAACGCGCTTCGAGACGGCCTGCATCGTGCTCTCAGCTGCAGGTTCTTCAGAGTGAGCTAGAGAGAGAAAGAGAGGAGAGAGAGAGAGAGACCTGTTGGATGAAGAAGATGGGTGGGATCGGTTCTGAGTCGAGTTCTAAGTTGGGCATATGCTTACTTTGGTTTGGGCCATGATAAACTTTGGGCTCTCTACATATGACCCACTTCTTTTTTCTTTCCTTTTTTTTTTCTTTCTGAATTAAATTAAAAAGCGACATCATACTCCGAACTAATCTATAGAGTCGGAAGCGGGTTTAATCTCGAAAGCATAAGAAAATACACCCACGTTACCATTATATGTTGTCAAGATGTCAATTTGAATAACTTAATTGAATGGACTTTGTTTGTCAAATAGTTTAAACATGTTATGTTGTCAGACTGTTAATCTAGACAAGTGATTTAGTTGTCACAAGTGTGTACAATAGTTTAGCATAACATACCAACTTGATAATGTTAAACATCCATTGGTTTGAACATGTAATCATGATCGCTTCAAGATAGAATTTCTCTTGTAAAAATTTTAACATATTATATTGTCAGACTGTTAATCTAAATAACTGATTTAATTTTCCCTCAATTGTGTTTATATTTTAACACAGCATCGGTTTTCTACTGGTAATGGTACATGGTTAGGATCATACATATTGGTACTATGGAACCTATGTATTCCATCATTACCTTGAATATTTGAGAATTGGCATTTTCAACTCAAAAAACATAAGAAAGTACCCGTGAAGTAGTTTAACATATTATATTGTCAGACTATTAATTTGAATAAGCGATTTAATTTCCGGTGGAGCATACAGTAGTTTAACATAACATACCAAGTTGATAATGTCAACAATTTATTTAATTTGAACATGTAATCTTTTGACCACATCATGATCCATAGCCAGTGTCATGTATCAAAACATAGTATGTGAAGAAACAAGAACAAAAATATGGGCTTAAGTTTCTAGCATTAGGACTGTTCTTTTGATATCAAAAATTGTGGAACAAACATTGACCCATCTTCCCTTGAGACCAAAAACATTGACTAACCCAGCTGCACCTATTCCCTAACTGAATAATTGGACCTACTGCTTCAATCTAAACTACATTATTGAACATGATTAAGCACAAATCTACTCCTGTCGTTGCCTCTTCTGCGTATTTTATTACAGCTCTCACCAACCCAACTTATTTGTCTGACGACCGTGAAAGAATTCCCGGATTTGGCTTGGGGATGACTTAGAAACAGCTTTCCTCAAATGGGGGTTTGGATTGATAAAACGGCACGCACCTTTGTCCTTTCCCATTTCTCTTTCAACTTTCCGAATGCAGCAGCACCAGCAAGGAACGCGGCATCAACTGTCTTGTTTTGTATCATCTGCTCTTGCTGCTGCCTTTGAATCAAAGGTTATCGGCCATGACATCCGAATCAAAATTCTGGTATGCCACTCGACCTAGATGAATACTCTGTCACCAATTTTAGAAACATGGATGACTTATCTTCTAATAGTCGTATAGGAGTATCAAACTCTGCCACTCGACCTGCAAAAACATCAAATATGTAGGTTAATAAGCATTCTATGGGTCCTCATAAAACCTCCCAAAAGCACCAAACATAACCTTTCCCCAAAGAAAAGCAGAATCATGTCACATAATATCTAGTTCAATGCAGTTACATGCAAAGGACCATATGAAAACTCGAACATTTTTCCTCTATTGATGAATAGGTGTGTATGGAATTTATAACGAATCATTTTACTTACCATCACTGAGTACCAGCACTAGATCACTATCAATGACGGTTGGGATACGATGTGCAATCGTGCACACAGTACAGTTCTTAAACTCTGTTCGAATAATTTTCTGGATAAGATTGTCTGTAGCTGTATCAACCGATGCTGTTGCTTCATCAAGCACCAATATTTTTGCCTGCTTAAGCAATGCTCTTCCAAGAGAAACCAGTTGCCGCTGACCCACACTCCAATTATCTCCATTTTCCAGTACTGCAATTTCAACACAAAAATCCGACTCATTGGTAGCCATACCCCAACCAAGACATTCTAGTTTTCTTTGTTTAGAGGGTCGGATGTGTAAGAGATTTAACTCATACCTGGTGCATCAAGCTTTTGCTCCTTTTCACGGATTATGTCTCCAAGCTGAGACTTGTCAAGTGCCTGTACCAAATAAAGTAACCCTAGTTAGGAACTATGTGTATAATACACGCATGTACAAATTCTTGAAAATTGCTGGCTTAGGTAATAAAAAAATTGTTTTGAGTCCCAGAGGACGTAGTCATATTCCAAAATGAAAAAGGGAATGAAAAAGATAGGATATGCAACCGTAATCAAACCTGCCAAATTTCATGATCCAAATGCTCTTCAAGGGGATCAAGATTGAGCCTAATGGTCCCTTCAAATAAGGTAGGATCCTGGGGTATGATACTGAGACGACTTCGGAGATCATGAAGACCAATTGTCGAAATATCAACATTGTCTATAAGGATCCTCCCAGCTGATGGTTCAATTAGTCGAAATAATGCCTGGATCAAAGTAGATTTACCACTTCCAGTACGCCCAACAATTCCAATATTCTTTCCACCGGGAAAACTACAAGTAACCCCATGAAGGACAACAGGAAGATTTTCCTTGTAGCGAACCTTCAAAGGAAACAAGGAGGAAGCTAAACTGTTATCATTGTGTAATCCAATTGCAATACTTGATTTATATTGAACTTACACATTGTTCCCAAAATTAAGCATAAGCATAATAAAACCTGTGAACTGCAGGCAGCATACCTTTAAATCAATTATGTCAATTGCTCCATTCTCTGGCCATGTAGATGGAGGTTGAGAATCCTCAATAACGGATGGAGCTTCACTTGGGATTTGACTGTACTGATATATCCTTTCAATAGAAATAATTTTGTTTTCAAGCTTGCAAAAGCTAAGTATCCATCGTGATAGGCGTGCATTTAAATTCAGACCATATGTGACAGCGAGGCCAGCCATGCCTACATGGAAAAACGAATTACAATTAGATGTGGCATTTTGTCATAATCTGAAAATTCTACTCCTTTGTCATTGTCCCATCAAGCCATTTAATCATCTGAATTATGTCGTGCAACTAAAATTTAGACTACATCAACACTAATCCAGTTCTCAGACCTGCTTAGTGTTCTTAAGCTAGCAGAAAGGGTACAATTTTTTTTTTTTTAAATTACAATGCTTTATGCACATCAAAGCACACTGCTAAATGTGAAACCAAAATAAATCGTATAACATATGATGGTTGAAAATTATGAGCTCAGAGATTCAATCAGGTTAACATGTAAGAGATACCATGTCATAGACACTCCCACTCCCACATAAACCAAGTCAAAGAATTTTCATATATTTTGTACGCTTCAAAATGGAAGCAATCATTCAGACCAAGCAAATATACGACTTGCCTTAAGAATGGCAATGCTATTTCATATTCAAGTCATGTTTTTACAGGACTCAGATTTCATGACAACATACAGATAATAGTATAGGACACGAACTTACTTGGATCGATACTCCCATGTGGAAAGCTCACAAGTAGAATCATGCAGAAAGCAAATACAAAAGTTGAGAGTAATTCCATGCGCAGACAGAGCCATTCAATAGCTGCAATACTGCAGAAGAAAGGGCGAGCGAAACAATCAAGAAGATAAAGGTTCCTCTTCATGAACCTTTTTTCTTGTCCAAATCCTCTTATAGTGGCAGCTCCAGCAATTGACTCGCCAAAAAGATGGATAATTGGAGACTTCTGGATGCTAACAATTCGGACCAGTTCCCTTGATGAAGCCATGTAGTATTTCTGTATCAAAGAATGCTCTCATTCAGGTACAATAAAGTAGGTTTAATATCATAAAGTAATTAGCTCAAAGATGTACATACACAACATGACAAAAAGACAAACAATAAGGTTTCTCAAAGTGATGAAATTGATCACCACGATTTAAATGCTTTTGCAGTAGCAACCAAAAGATGGTAAATAGTACTCAGCTAATGTATAGTTATATAAATATTACAGAATTCGAAACAATAATATATAAGTAATTGTATGCGAAATTAACAGGGAGCAATATCCTTTATATTTTTATCTTCAGTTTTCTAAATTACTAGGAGTTAAAACAACAAATTCAGGGCAAAAAATTTAAGTACCTGCATCCACAAACAAGCAATGGCCATAGGAATAACAAGCAGCAAAACTTGCCAGGTAACTGTTGTCATCACACCAACAATACCAATAAGTTGTATTGTCGTTGAAGCGAACCCACCAAGTCTAAAAGGAATATCAAGATCCACCACACTTTGATCAATTGATACCTATAGAAAACAAACAATTCAATAATTATATATGCAAACGAAAGGAGTTGGTGAATTAGGTATTTTTCACAAACAAAAAATCACATGAATTCCGGAAAATGAGAGACTTACACGATTCAAGATCCGTCCAGCAGGAGTAGAGTCAAAGAAAGACATTGGTGCCCGGAACACACTTCTAAGCATCTTCACAAACAATTTCTGAGCAGCTGCTAGACCAAACGTAGCTACCAAAACAGCCCTAACAAATATAAACCAAGAGCTTCCGAATGCAAGGGCCATGTAAACACAAAGAAGGACCATCGAACTCACTTTCGGTTGATCTCCTTCTGTTTGGGGATTTGCCCAAGCCATCCACCAACTACTAGCAATTTGAAGAAACTGAAATACTGTTTGTGCAATGATTATTGGTGGAATCAGCAATCCTTTATATGCTGCAGCCATATACGAAAAGTAGACCTTCATGCTGACCCTTCCTCTTACCCTTTCCTCTTCTTGGACAAGCTGCTTTTTTCTTGAGCGCTTTGCTTTCTTTTTCTCTTTAATTGCTTTCTGCTCTGAAGCTGACACACCTTCTTGCACTTCCTTTGCCAAACAGTCAACACTACTGCTAGGTTTATCACAATTTTTTCGGAGCCCAGTATCCAGACACAAGCTTTGATCTGAATCTCCCGATGAGTTATTGGGAATATCCATAGCTTCAATTGCTTCATGGTGAGCTGAGACTAGTGATTTGAAATCAGTTCCTGCCTGTAAAAGATCATCATATTTTCCTGCCTGTATGATGCGCCCTCCTTTAAGAACCTACAGATACGGAAAATGAAGGTTACAGACTTCTTCTCAAAAGCACACAAAATAGAACACACAAAGTCAAATATAGCAAACTAAATTTGGAATAAATGGAAAGGGAAGTAGAAAGTACGGAAAAGAGAAGGAAAAAGAAAATACTAAGTGTTGCAATAAACGAAAGAAACAACAAAAGTAAAATTTCTCCAAGACCAACAGTCATGGTGCAACTGCTAATGTGTGACTCGCCTTATACACATAAGCTACAGACTATAGATGCCAATATGGACCTTTCATCTCAGAAATAATATATTAAAGGTTTTTTTAAAGACTGTACCAGTATCAAATCAGCAGCAGGCAGAAATTCAACTTGATGGGTCACAAAGACCACAGTTTTATCTTCTAATGCTGTCAATATGTATTCCTGCATCACCCCCATAAAATATACTTAGCTATCAACCAAATATATATATATATATATATATATATATATCACTTCAATTGAATTGTGATATCAGTGATCAGCAATACTAACCTTAAACAACTCTGACCCAGTGTGTGCATCAACTGCACTAAAGGGGTCATCAAGTAAATAAATGTCAGCATCTTGATACAGTGCCCTTGCAAGCTGCACACGTTGCTTCTGGCCACCACTCAGATTTATACCCCTATCACCGATTATGGTCTGGTCTCCATGTGAGAAAAGTTCCAAATCCTTTTTCAGTGAACAAGCATGGATAACCTTCTTGTACTTTGGTTTATCCATTGGGCTACCAAAAAGAATATTTTCTTCAATATTTCCAGACTGTATCCATGCTGACTGAGGAACATAGGCAGCAGTACCACATAGCCTTACCTGAAATGATATGGCAAAAAACAAGTATTGGGAATATTATCACTTAATAATCATCCTAGGAAAAAAAATAACCTTGAAAGGAAAGAAAACGTGAGATGTAAAACAGAACTAAGTTCAAAAATACCAACTTACTTCACCGGAGATTTTCGGGATCTCACCAAGGATGCAAGAGAGAAAGCTTGACTTGCCAGCCCCAACCATTCCACAAACAGCCACACGCATCCCTCTTTCCACTTTCATCTGTATTCCTGATAATGTTGGCCTGGGAGAGGAAGGGTCCCAGCAAAAGACACCATCTTCAATTTCTATTGACGTGGTTGAGATGCCTCGTGGCAGGACTATTGTTGCGTCCTCCTGCAACTCTTCCTCCTGCAGGAATCCAGAAATTCGATCAAGGGAAACTTTTGTCTGTGCCATCATTGATACAAGGTCAGGGAAATTCCTGAGTGGTTCTTGGAGTATCCTGAAAGTGGCTAGAGCAGAAAGCACACCACCTGCAGTCAGCTGGTGACCCAAGAATATAGAGGTACCAAAAGTTACGGCTGAAACAAATATAGGAGAGCTCCAGAACATGAATGTAATAAAAGCTTGAGAGTAGAGAGCTTTGCGTAGCCACTTGAACTCCACACCACGCATCTCCTCTAACTTCAATCGGTACCGGTCCTCCCAAGCTTGCAACTTGAGAATCCTCATGTTTCGCAGGCACTCTGAAGTCTTCCTCATTCTTTCATCCTTGGCAGTCATCAACTTGTCTTGATATTCTTCTTGTATCTTTGCCACAGGAACAGTAAGAACAATGGAGATAATGGTGGCAATCAAGGTTGCAACAGAAGCGATTCCAACATTCTTGTACAAAATTGCAAGGGCGAGAATGATTTGCATGGGAAGCATCCACATGTCCTGGAGATACCAAGAGTAGTCCCCTATCCTTTGCACATCAACAGCCATGTAGTTAACAATCTCTCCACTAGTGTGACTCTGCTTGGCCGAGCTGGAAAGTCTGAGTCCCTTTCGGTATACCATTGCCGTTAGAGCTGATCTTACATGCATACCCAAAATGTCTACCCCAAGATACCACTGCCGGGTTGTTAAGGTCTCAACAAGCTTTGCTGCAAAGAAAGTACCGGCAAGAATATACCCTTCATGAGGGAAAGTCTCTATCCCCCCCAAATAATCAACAAAATAGCTAATCATAAACGGACCCACATATGAAACAAGAGTATTTAATCCAGCAAATACAGCATTACAAGCTCCCTCCTTCCAAAAGGACCTGAGAATTGCCCAGGCTAAAGAAGGCTGTCCTGAACGGTTTTCAGCCTTCACTTTCTCCCAATTTGAATTCAAGATCTTATAATTAGTTTTGGCTCGATCTTGTGGTGCAAGAAGTGGAATGTCCTTGATCTCAAGCGGTCTTTTTGCCCCAATTGAAAGAAGCGGGTTCATCCAAGACAGTGTGGCTAAGCTGAAAAGCCCGGCATCATGATAAGGGCTAACCTTAAGACACCCTGCTTCTTCTTCAAGCAATGGCTCTTGAAGATCAGATGGTCCAGAAACTTGAATACCAGTAACACCCCTACAGGCAACGAAACAAAGAAACGCTAGGGCCGGTGTCACAGCGAGATTTGCCACAACATGAGAACTCATGTGTTTCGATCCTTCAATTGCAAAAGCTCTCCCATCAACATATAAAGTGCACAAGCAAATCAGAAATGACACAGACCACCAGACCCTCAAAAGCAGTGGGAATTTCTCACATGCCTTGAACTTACAATGCAGAGCCGAAAAGCTCAGCACGAACGAAGCCAAAGCTTGTGCAGCAGGCAAGACTATCACAGACCAATCCACAACATTCCCATTACTTCTCTCCCTTATCAGACCAACCCCATCAAAACCCAACACCAAAACTTGCACAAACAACACATAGAAGCAACAAAAGACCGAAAATTTGAAGTCTCTTCCAACTCTAACCTCACGAGTTCCTCCATCCACAGCACTATTACGCCGAATTGAGCTCGAATTCAAATCCGAATCATCCTTGAGGATTCTAATCCGACTCAGACAACCAAACACCCGGCGAGCTAAGAGGATGCAGAGGAACCCAACAAAGAGCACCAAATTGATGAGAATTGAAGCGAGCTCCAAAACAGGCAAACCCTGAAGAGCTGTCAAAAGGGTAATTGAGGATTGCTGAGCTGCTGGAGAAAACGAAGGGATGCCTCCATGGAGGAGGATAGTGGGACCCATAATTGGATGTAGCGGAACTTGTGCAGGATTCGATTGAAAAGAGTGAGTCGATGGTGAGCTGCTAAGCGAGAGGAGGAGAAGAGATGGATTCGTTTGACAGAGAAGGGCATTTCACCATCTGGGTTTTGAAACAAAAACCTCTGCAGAGACACATTGCACGTGGAAACAAACAGATACAGAATTTTATCAACACAGATTTCGGAGAGAGAGAGAGAGAGAGAGAAACAGACACAAGAGGACAAAGACGATGCACGAAAAATCGATAACTTTCAATGGGAAAATACCAAAAAAAAAATGAAAACTTGCCTGCAAATTTTGATTTAATGGCGTGAACCGATGAAGGTTTGTGCTGAGGCAAGCCTGTGATGGAGGTTGCCCAACAAGCTCCGCCTCTCTCTCTCTCTCTCTCTCTCTCTCTCTAAACGCAAAATTGGACAAAACCCACAAAGATTTTACACTGAAATTCAGAGAGAAGACGTTAATGGCGATGAGAATTGAGAGAAAGCTGAAGGTTTTAACGTTTAGGAGTCGAGAGAAAGAAGAAAAAGAGTCTTTGTAAAGGGTTTTGTTTTGTTCTCTTCTATATTATATGGTTTTATAAACACCGCGTGCCAACTTTGCAAGGGAGATGGTCATTAGAGCAACACCACCCATGGAGCCTTCCCCTGGCAATCCACTATTCAATTCACCAACAGTAACGGCCTTAAATGAATAGTAATTACCATTAATGAACAGTAATTGTCATTTACATCTCCATCCTTGGAAACCTCCCCCCTGACAATAAGCAATTAAAATAATAGTTTTTTTGTTTAAATAATAAAAAATTACAAAAGCTCTCTCTTTCTCTCTCTCTCTCTCTCTGACACAAAAAAAATAAAAAATTGTAAAGTCCTCGGGCCACCGTCAACTCCCCACCTCACCTTCGCTCGGACTCCCACCGTCGCTCGACCTTCACACGGCTGGACCTCTCTCCACCGGCCCTCGGGCCCTTTGTCCTCGCCTGTCGCCCGAGCAACCAGCCTCCGCTGGAGTTGCTCTTATATACTGTCGATTGAGAAAAAGCTAGATGGAGAAGGGAGGGAGGGACCAAGATGAGAGAAATTATTTTATATTGCTGCCATTAAATGAGGAAGTGTAGGGCAAAAAAAATAGCCAAATTAAGTGTGTACTTTCCTTTACGAAAACAGAAAATGTGTTTTTTTTTTAGCACACAATATTATTTATGGAGTGGTCTAAGTCTTAATCAGAATTAAATTCACTTTTGACGAGAATCAAATTTAATACATCTTAATTATATATGAAGAGAAATGTCATTAGACTGTGGTACTAAGTGGTAATAAAAAATATGTTTATTTAGTTTTTTTATTTTAATAGAAGCGATAATTTACTTTTTAAACCCATTTCAATTATAAAATAATTTAAACTTGAGTGAAGAAGAATACCACACTATTCTAGCCAATTAGACAAATCCAGCTTGTGTAATGCTTTGACGAAAAAAAAAAAGTTGTGCAATGCTTTATTTATTATTTGTTTCTTGCCAAACGTTCATACGTGTGACAATTGATCTTTTACTCGTATTCTTTATTATTTATTTATAATATTTATTTTCTTTTAGTTTGGATTTTTTTTAATTAAATTGTTTTATTTTATAATTCTAATTAAGGAAGGATACTTTGGGATATTGAAAGCTTCATTATTTTGGTGCGCTCTATATATATAGGGGTGTGATATCCACACATCATTTTTTACTTCTTCCATACCTTTTTGGTTTTCGACCGTCGGATCGGATGAATTGAAAAAGATCAGCGGACAGAAATTAACAAGGATGTGTGAGAAGTAAAAAAATGTGTGTGGATAGCACACTCCTATATATATTAATTTTTCAAACTATATTATTTGTATATGAAATAATGTACATATTTGTGGAGTCATGTGTGTGTGATTTGAGATAAAGAATATGTTTGTTGATAAAAAGAATATTATTGACATGGTTTTGTGGTTATTGATGAGATCATGATGGGATCTCAACAGGCAAGGAAACATTAGATTATGCATAGACATTCCATTTGTTAATGAGAGAGAGAGAGAGAGAGAGAGAGAGAGAGAGATTTGTTTGTTTACACTTCATGGTGGTGGTGGTGGTGGATTACTGGATTTCTGATCAGAATATTGAATGTGACTCCGATGCCATCATGATAATGTTTCTGGGATTTTAGTAATATCCCATTATTTATTCTAAGATTCACTGCTACTTTGAGTTTAAGGCTTTTGCTTTCACCACCCAAATGTTCATCAATCATGGACCTATTCAAATAAGATTAACTACTTTTAGTATAGAAAAATTAATGAAAAGAGTTTGAAAATTTTGATTTTTAACGATAAGAATAAAATAAAGGGTAAAATAAATAGTATTATGATTGACTTTTTAGTGCAAAAATATGATTTTTCGTTAAAATAAACAGTACCTAAAGTTTTTCATTAAAGTTCTCTTTTAGTATTAGGCTTTCAGCATCCCAAATATTCTTTAGCCCAATATTTATTAATGGAGGCTTTCTCGAAAGTGAGATTTTCTATAGACTTTCTGTCTTATGTTTTTGGCGCAATATTTTATAATGTTAGTACGGAAATTGATGTTAAAATTTGCCATGATGATAATATTTTTGGGTTTTTATTAATATCCCCAATATCTTCTTCACTACTACTTTGAGTTGAGGCTTTTGCTTTCAGCACTCCAAATATTCTTTGATCATGCACCTATTCAAATATTTATTATAAGATTTACTACTTTCAGTTCGAGAAATATTTTTGCTTACCACCTTTAGATGATGGTGTTGTTCATCATTTTATTTATCACCGTTATATGAGTTTAAATTTCGTAAATCAGTATAGTTGGTAGACACAAATCTCAAAATTTAAACTCACCAAATGATGATAAAATAGGATGATGAACATTACCATCACTTGAGGGTGGTGAGTAAAAATACACTCTTCAGTTTGAGGCTTTCAACATCCCAAATATTCTTTATCTCAATATTTATTAATATGCTATGGTGATAATTTTTTGGGTATTTAATAATATCCAATATTTATTCTAAGATTCACTACTACTTTGAGTTTGAAGCTTTGCTTTGAGCACCCCAAATATTCTTTAAAAATGCGCCTATTCAAATATTTATTTAAGATTTACTACTTTCAATTTGAAGATTTGAGCAACCCAAATATTCTTTAATCATCTCCTTCGTCACCTACATTGGTGACATATTAAGTATGAGAAGTCATGGAGCAAGAAACCTTAGTTGATCTTATTCATGATTTTTTTCAGTTATATTCTTTAAACATGCGCATATTCAAATATTTATTTAAGATTAACTACTTTCTGTTTGGAGCTTTGACCATCCCAAATATTCTTTAATCGTCCGTCGGACCTCCTTCACGTTCATTGGTGACATATTAAGTATGAGAAGTCATGAAGCCAAAAATTTTAGTCGATCTGATTCATGATTTTTTTCAGTTATATTAAATTACAAATTTTAAAAAATCTGAATTCACACCTTACTTTATTTTATATGTGTTTCTAAATATAGAGAGAGTCCATAGTTTAAACGGCTCCCATATATTTTAGAAAATGATGAAAATCAAGAACCGGAATAAATCCATTACTCATTCTATACAAGTAACCATACCACAATATATAGCATATTTACATACTTAGAAATGAGGAATTCATAACTAAGAGAAAGGAAATAGGAATTGTAGGTAAGAACCACGTGTTTTTTAATTTCATACATAATAGTGAACGCATGAAAAGTTACGAATCTTGCTTTGCAGAAACAAATAGGTATATATGTTAACTAGGTAGCAGCAGCACACAGTGGCATGTTATGTAATGCATGTAACCGAAAGCCACAGGGACTGACAATCGATGGGTTGCGGTGCCATGAGAAAATTGTGTTTGTTTTTTGTGTTGAACATATCAGGAACCGCACTTATCAGTTATCACCTAAGTTGGCTGCTTTCTGCAGATATGAAGGTGATGACATAGTTTCCAGAAAACTTTTGTGGTTTATTGGGAAAGGTATGGCCCCCAGCTGCTGAGAGTTGAGGTTGAAGGATGTTCAAATTTCTTTCTAGCTGACATGCATGCACATGTGGGATGTCGCTGTGGGGGCACTTGCTTTTGTAGTTTTTTGTAACTATTTTTATAATTTCTAGGCCATGATCTCTGACTGTGATGCACTCAATTTTTTTGTTTTTGGAATTTTAACAAAAAAAAAAAATTCTCGGTACTGTTTACTTTAACAAAAAAATTATATTTTTACACTAAAAAGTCAATTATGATACTATTCACTTTACCTTTTATTTTATCATTTTCGTTAACACTCAAAATTTTCAAACCTTTTTCATTAGTTTTTATTTTTTATTTTTTATTTTTAGGAAAAATTGCTCATCAAAGTGATCAACTTTGTTACGTGTCCGGGATTGCATGCATTTTTAAGGCAATGCAACCAAGGATGCCTGCATAATTAAAGTAATCCCAGAGAAGAAAATACCAAGGATGCCTACATCATTAAAAGTGAAGGAAAATTAATGAAAATGATTTAAAAACTTTGAGTTTTAACGATAAGAACAAAATAAAAGGTAAAGTTAATAGTACCATGATTGACTTTTTAGTGTAAAAATATTATGAACTTTTCGTTAAAATTCCCTTAAAGTAATCCCAAAAAAGAAAATTAAAGTAGCTTTATTATGTGCTTTTAGTTCAAAATAATTTTAGGTAAAGCGTTGAAAACTTAACAATTGACGGTAATACAAGAAAAGTTAGCAATAGTTTTCAAAAAAATAAAATAAATTAAAGTAGCTTTATTATGTGCTATTAATTCAAAATAATTGTAGGTGAAGAGTTGAAAAGTTAACAATTGACGGTAATACAAGAAAAGTTAGCAATAGTTTTCAAAAAAAAAAAAAAGTTAGCAATTGAGGTTAATATACAATGAACTTCAAATAGAGGATCAATTTATTTTCTTTTCAGTCACTTAGTATTACAGTCTAGTGGTATTCATCTTCACTTGTAAGTCAGAGGTCTTAGATTTGATTATCGTCAAAAGCGAATTTTAACCACATTATTACTAGCTCATTGTGATGCTAATCTCATTTTATACCTTTAGTGTAGATAATATTGTTTGTTAAAAAAAAAAAACATTCCCTTTTCGATATTTGTAACCTATTCAATTATTATTACCAAAAGGAAAAGTTGATTGTTTTCTAATTCAACGGCTAAGCTACGTTTAACGTCTATGTCATGCGAGGAGAAATTTTTTTATAGTAAATGCCATCGTCTCATTAGGTTGAACTCATGAATAGTGGAATCAAGCCCTCTCCCTCCGTTTCATGGCGACCTTTTACATCGATTTGTTTGGCACCGGTTGTAGGCTTGTAGCAAGGGTTTTGTGGTGTTAAGTACTGAGCTCTAAATAGTTTCTAATGCTATTAGTGAATGGCTAACTATGTAAGTAACCACCACTTGATATTATGATCTAATGATATTCCTATTCACTTGTAAGTGAAAGGTCTTAAATTTGATTATCGTCAAAAGTGAATTTGAACTACATTATTGCTAGTTTATTGTGCGGCTAAGCTCACCTCATTCTCCTTAGTCTAGATAATATCGTTTATTCAAAAAGGAAAATCATGCAAGTAAATAAACTGAGTAGCACAATAAGCTTATAAAGCTAATTGGTGTATAATAATTCTTGTTAAACCCACCTGCCATTCAAACATTATATTTGGCATTAAAACCTGCCATCTTCACAAAGTTAGCACTGGGTATCCATCACTAAACGTCTTAACAGCCTTTTTTTGAACCCAGAATTCAATTCTTTGTCTCTGGATTGATGCTGACTTGAGCTCGCACAAATTGTATAGAGCTGTCATATATTCATATTCACCACCGGCCACCTAGGTTGGACCAACATTTTTCAATTAAGACGGCACTTTTGTGTCTTCCAAACTCCGTATATTTAATCATAATTGTAATTGTCTTGATTATTTGGTTTAGTGGAGATATTTATCAGTGTCACCGAACAGACGGACGAAATATAACATGTCATTATATATACTTGGAGGAACACATAAAAAAAAATATTCTCTAATTTATAATTGTGAGAGTTTAGAGAGAGTTTAGAGAGAGAAGAAATAAAATTGTGAATTGTATTATCTTGAATAAGATTACACTTGGTATATATATACCATCATTTACATATATGCTCACTACCTATCTTACTAGTTAAGTAAAGTATAACAAACTTCTCACAACTCTAGCAACTTTACTTAAGCATCATTTTACACTACTACCCTTAATATCCCCCCTCAAACTAAGCTGAGGTAGTCGAAGTGAGAGTTTGTCACGGAGAAGAAGAAACCGATCCTTGGATAAAGCTTTAGTACATATATCTGCAGTTTGATCCTGTGTACAGACAAAATGCACAGTGATGGAATTGGCTAAAACTTTCTCCCTAATAAAGTGATAATCAATCTCCATATGCTTGGTTCGAGCATGAAACAGAGGATTCTTAGCAAGAGATATAGCAGATATATTATCACACCACAGTTTAGGAGGGCATGGAATCGGAAGACCAATATCAACTAACAGCTTGCTGATCCAAGTTAACTCAGCAGCAGTATTAGCTAAAGAACGATATTTCGAGAGTTTAGAGAGAGTTTAGAGAGAGAAAGTTAGAGAGAGAGAAGAAATAAAATTGTGAATTGTATTATCTTGAATAAGATTACACTTGGTATATATACTAGCTATTTCATATGTCCCAGCTGCGTTAAGGGTTCGAGTTTATTACTTTGTCCTTATACTTATCCAAATGTTTGAGCTACTTCTGCATGCATAATAATGGCCGAAGACTCAGCAAACAACCTTACATTATACAGTCCACATATACACGTACGTGTTCTTCTCAGAATAATATCGACATGTAATGGATGCCACATATTCACGTAGGTCGGCATGAACTACAAAATCGATTACTTCGTAATCTTGATCTGTCGTTCTACATCTACCAGAAATTTACTGTATATATTAGATGTGTGTGTGAATAGTGATAAATTCATAAACATTTTGTTCAAGGTCGTTCCAACATATCAATAATTTCATAACCCTTTTGTGTTTATATATGAAAGCTTGAGTTGGTTAAAAGTCCTATATCGATTCTGACCCCTTCTAATCATACAGTCCATCAAACTTCAAAAATTTAAGCTATAAGCTCGACCTCCTTGCAAAATATATGACTCACCTCCGTTGTAAAGCAGCTATATATCCTCATTCTTACTCTCTACAATTACTACGGCTGGAAACTAAAGGGTAGGACACCATAAAGTCGGTCCAGCCCCAAAGGAAAGGTTCTGAATTGTTGCCCTTGATTTTCCCAGCAATATAAGGTTTGATGTACAATTGTGGGTACATTTGTGGTCCAAGGATAAAGTGGAGGGGATCAAGAAAATACCAAATGTGATGGTGATAGGTTCAACATGCCGTATTTTCAATTATTAAAAAAGTGGGTGACCTTCAATCGTTCATTGACATATAATTATTCATACGAATGATCTTTTTGAACAATTAAGGCCATCTCCAACCAAAAGGTCCAGAGGGTTGGATGAGCAAAAATAGTCTGAAAATCATCTCTAACCGAGCAGTGGCGAATGCAGGAATTTTCGGCAGGAGGGGCGAAATTTAAAAGCGTAAAAGGTTCATAAAAAATATAGACAACCAAATCTTTGTACATAATATACAATATTAATATTGTTCATAACTACCTAGAATACTTGAAGGAGGATTTGGAGTAACCGAAATATTCGAAGAAAGACTACCTGGAAATATTCGAAGAAGGACTATCTGTTGTACCGGGAATATTTGAAGAATGATTTAAACACTATTTCTTATAGTATTGTTACGTACATTATGTAATTGTACAATAGAAACAAAATGGATAAAAAGCATATTACGCTAATTCTATATCAATTAAACAACTAATGCAAAACACCACTTACAAATTGTAGGTATTATAGCAGTCAAACAATGTGCATAGTTATTATTTTTATATAAGTATGATAAATGTTTTATATAAAAAATAGATAAGTATACCTAGTTCATAAAAGGAAAAAACAAACAAAAAAAACATAAAAAAATAAAAATAAAAAAATGAATGAAAAATTAATTAGAGATGCTTGGGTTCAAATGACATGTGGACCATAAATGTCAAAGGATGTGTTCTATTTGAATAAAACGTCATCGTCCACTTTAAGTGCTCAGCCAAACGACATCGTTTGCTAAGATTTGTTTTATAATATTGCTTCTTCCTCCTTGCCGATTTTGTTGCTTGGGTTTTGCCTTTCCTCACAAGGTGGTTTCAGGTAGTCTGGGTGGGTAAAATAGACTTCGGTGAAGGGGTTTTTCGGGAACCGGATGGGCAACTTCCCACTCTTTCCATAACGTGTGTCCGCCCATGGCAGCAGCAAAAGTTGTAGAACGTTCTTACAGGTTTTCCGACTAACGAGAGGGGCGGCTAAGGGAGTGGTGGCCGCCACTCCTCGTCCTCATGTGGCTTTGCCATTGCAACTAAGGGCTAGGCCAGAGGGCTCGTGGGCCCCACGGAATCTGAAAGGGCCAACCGGCTGGCCCAATCCAGCCAGCCAGCCCCGAGCTGGGCTAGAAATTCTAGTATTCCTGTCAGATATAACCGACAGGAATTTTAGGTCAAATTCCAAATGTAACGGCTAGCTGACGTCAGTTAGCCGTTATTTTTGAAATGTTTTTTACAGTTTTTTTTTATTTTTTAATTTTACACAATTTTTTTCCTATAACTTTTTTTTTTTTTTCTATAACTACTATTTTACAAAATTTGTTTTATATTTTTTCTATAACTTCCTATAACTTGAATTTAAGTTGTAGTTTTTAAATAATAAATTATGTTTAGCCCTATGGCCCTTTGGCCCTCGGTTGGAGACAGTTTTTTTGTGATAGGGCTAAAACGAGCCATATGACCCTTTGGCCATCGGTTAGAGATAGAGGCAAATATGGTCATATATTGTTCATTAAACTATTAATTTCTTGGAGGGCCATAAGGCTAAAACGAGCCATCTGGTCAGCCTTCGGTTGGAGATGGCCTACCAAGCATCCTACACTACAAAAAGAACACCACTCAAAAGAAAGAATTTGGTCGGGCAAAGTTAATTGGGCAAATATCGTAGCTGAAACTTTTGCCCAGCGAATTGTAGGACTTCGTTGGGCAAATGTTGTTTGCTCGATGAAACAGTTTTATTGAGCGAAGTGCGTTGATCAACTTAGCTTGACTTTTTAAACATTTTTAATTAAAATTTTAAATACATTAATTAGTTTTAATTATATTAATTTTAAAAAATTACAATATAAAAAAGTGTATTTAATTATATTAATAAGTATTGAAATATTAATACAAATGTATGGAATATATTCCTAGGGTGATGGCTGAAGGTTGCTTGGAGGATCATGAAGGAGAATGCCAAAGGTTTCCATTGTCTGCGCCATCCCAGCAATGCACGGCTGAAACTCATCATCCCACAGGGCCCAAGCACACATCTTCTTTCTGAGCTTTTTCTCAATGGCGCACTTCTTCTCGATGGCGCAAAGCCTCTAACTCCATCTCCAACTGCTATAGTTTGGAAGACGTCCCACTTGGAGACTGAGAGCTAGATGAAGAAGATCCCCCAAGGTCCCAACCCTAACCTGCTCCTAGGCTGTGAAACTACTGGCCTTTCTGTCACCCAACCCCATCCATCAGCAACTGTAGAGACACATTTGGATCAGATGTCAACTGCTCTAGTGGTGTGTCTGGTTGCTAATGGGAGAGATTGGCGAGATACTTTTCCTTCTGCAACAAACAAGCTTACCAAAAAAAGGAGAAATTAATTCAAATTATCAATCACAATTCTAAAATTTTTAAGTGCAATGAAATTTGAAATTAAAATTTGGAACATAATACTTACATAAATGTCGTCAGTCACATGGTTGCCATAATTGACATGTGTATCCCCCCAAGCGTCGACTTTCGGGAAAAGCAAACTCTTCTTATGATGTTCATTGATTCGGAATGTCAATGGCCGAGAACTAGAATGATAGAGGTTTTGCTTCACTTCATGGTTACCCTTATTTGCTGTGATTTCCAATGTGAATAAAAAATATTAACTAAATTCAAACAAATTTAAATAAATAATAAACAAAAAATTGAAATAAAATTAAAAAAAACTTACAAGAATTTTTGGGCTCTAAAAATGACCACAAAGTTAGTGACACTCCTCTATCCTTTTTGCGACTCCATGGGTGGATTAGTTATAGCTTCAGCAGGAGATGCACAAATTTGGTAGTACATGTGCAACTCGTATTTTTACTCCCTTGTACCGATTAGTCCACACCCAGTTTACATAATCGGACATACCTGACACTTCCACATCGACCTCGAAGTTAACCTGAAATAGACAAAAAGCAAGTGTATTTGTTTAATGTTACTCTAAATAAGTAAAGGTAATAAAAATAATAATTTTATAAAACACATAAGATCTCTTTCATCATTGCCTCATGCACATCAGGGGCGAACTTGGTGTGGATGATGGCTCTCATGTCATGAGTCAACATGTTGTTGACTTTGACGTCCGCTCACTGTTGTAGTGGGTCATAAACGACCACAATCTTAGCTTGCATTATGTTGGTGATCTAGTTCGAGGACAAGCCTCTACAAATCCCTGCAAATTTACCTTCTTCCGACCCCGGCTAGAAGTTCTCTGTCTCCTGTTGGGCGCATGACCGTCGAATTAGCATCTGCCTCTACGGTGTCACCAGTGGGGGCTGGAATGGCTCAACGCCATGCCATTTCTAGTTGTGCATTCGTCAGGCATATCAAGGCTCCCAAATTGATGAAGCGAAGGAGTGGGCCCAGCCGCCGACTTGGCGATGGCCAGTTGGCTGCCACTGGTCCTACCCGTGGAATATCCGACATCACTGTCGTTGAGTCATTATACAAAAATACACTATTAAATACATTAATTCATAAAATTCATACAGAATCACCTAATACTTCCTACAAATTTCCAAATTTCAAATATTTCCTACACAGTACAAATATTTCCTACAAATTTCAAAAATTTCCTATAAATTTTCACAAATTACATGCAACTTACATAAATAAATAAAACACCCCAAGATTTTACACATGCAACTAATATAAATCAAAGAGATGGGCAAACATACCTTTGGTTATTTGAGAATTTGAACATGACGGAGAAAGGGAAGTGAGCGAGAGGGCGAGTGAGCAAGAGGGCAAGTGAGTGAGGAGGCAAAGAGAGAGCACAGAAAAGGCAAAGATAGAAAGAGAGCACATAAAGAAAGATCAGCAACGATGTGATGAAGAAGAAGTAGAAGAAAGCTCTCGGGCTGATATAAAATTATCAAACCTTTGCACGACAAATAAGGTTCTAAAATTGTGTCACATGTATTTTGATCAGTGTGCAGACAGAGATTGCATCACACAGAGTAACATGTTCTTCTTTTGAAGAGTATAATCTCGACACGTTACGACGCTACTCATGAGTTTGTTTTGCATTTGAATTCCATACCCCATTTAGTCGTGGTACAAGCAACATATTAATTAGTACCTACAACTGTAAGTCTGTAAGTGCACAACTAAATCCATATTAATACCACAATTAACAAGAGAAATTGATCATTTCTAATCTCGATCGTTCTATTCTGTTGAAAATTCAATAATAACAAATCTGTAACATTTTTTTTAATGGTGTGTAAAACTATGTATATGTTAAAAGTTCGGTGTTAATTTCAACGTATTGCAGAATAACTCACTTCTACGTCATTATTGATGTCGAAATCTATAAGACCTTTTGGATATCTACCTATGTAGACCATCAAACCCCAAAATTTTAAGATGGTGATTATCTAAACTCATTCTGGTGACACTACCATTTTAAGCTTAGATGCGAGAAAAATTGAGATTCCATAGTAAAACTAATTGGCAATATAGGGAATAGTCCAACTTATTTATAAGCACATGGAAGGTCTCTTCTCCCGTCAATGTGGGCTTCATTCTCAACACGCCTCTTCACGTGTGACAAATTTTTAAGTCTAACATGTATACAACACAAAGGGGTGACGTGGAGATCGTGTGGTCCTTTGACTTCACACATGGGACAATATGCTTTAATACTATACCCATGAAAATTGAGGTTTTACCATAAAACCAGGTGGTAGCATAGAAAGTACTCAACCTAACTTATTTATAAGACCATGCAAGATCCCTCCCCATCAATTTTGTGAGATTCAATCTCACCAAGATGATCATAAAATCCAAGCTTCGAGCTCTCTCTGTGGTAGTAGTACACAATGACATCAATGATAGAAGATCAAATCCACTGTCGGCGATGCCAAACATGATCAGGGTGACCCGGATTTATGTACAGCTGGAAAAGGGTAGGGTTAGGGTACCATAAAGTCCGTCCAACCCACCAAGGCTTATGAAATGTGCATTTTATTTTCCCCAACCATAAAGTTATATGTACATTTGTGGTCCAAGGATAAAGTTGGTGCATATAGATTAAGAAAATACCAAATGTGATGGTTTAGCACTAGGTTCTTCAACATTCATATGGGACAAAATTTTCCACACACATATGCATCTTTTACATGTCGCAAATGCCTTGCTAGAAATAGTTTTTCAAACGATTATCACCAACGTGGGGACCTTCTCGGCCGTGCATGCCGAATTTATTCAAATACAAATCTCAAACAACTAAAACGAAATTTATGGTTTTCATTTGTCTAAGATGGAAGCAACATATTCCACAAAACCTACCAAACGAAAAGAAATGATGTGGATAGTTTTCACTGCTGAAGGAAGGATTTCTCATGACACAACAACAATTGAATAATTGAAGTGAATATGATGCCCAAATGTTACTTTATCGTAATGGTAGAAAACAATCATGTCTATATATCATGGTGCGAGTTTGATCTAATAATTTACAATTTAACTAGCTAACGCTATTATTTCTAAAAAAAAAATATGAATATGATGTCAGTTTAAAGTTGCATGTTGCGCATTGCGATGTGTATTTTTAATTATTTCTATTAACTTAAGATCAAACATATGATTTTAATTATGTTACTCAACAAGTCAAATTTTAATTATTTCCATAAAATCGCGATGAAGCTTCTTGATTCAAGCATCTAATGAATCTTAACATCCTTCCATGGCGTCGAACCTTTGGAGTAGCATGTTGAGAGTGTTGTTTATCATAGCAAGATGATTATGCGATTCCATAGCTTTCTTCGTCAACTTAGGTAGCAGAGAAGGGATGGAGGAGTCAAGATTGGCTCAATACCAATAATAGATCATCGATCAACCTTAACTCAGAGAAGCCATGAGAGAGAGAGAGAGAGAGAGAGAGAGAGAGAGAGAGAGAGAGAGAGAGAGAGAGAGAGAGAGAGAGAGAGAGAGAGAGAGAGAGAGAGAGAGAGAGAGAGAATGACAATTGAATTTCAATACTATTTCATAACTGCCTTTCTGTTACTCACAAGCCAAACTATATAGCAACTATCCCTAACTAATTTTATCCAATTACAGCTGTACTAACAACCTTATTACAAGTATTACAGCTCAATCACTCAGATGATGACATTTGACACAATCACAATTGCTCTATAACTACTCTTAGCTACGAGTAATCCCATTAGAATCCTAACAAATCATGATCAGGTGACCCGGATTTATGTACGGCTGGAAAAGGGTAGGGTTGGGTACCATAAAGTCCGTCCAGCCACAAGGCTTATGAAATGTTGCACCAAGTATAAAGTTGGTGCATATATATTAAGAAAATACCAAATGTGATGGTTTAGCACTAGGTTCTTCAACATTCATCATATGGGACAATATTTTTCACACACATGCATCTTTTACATGTCGCAAATGCCTAGCTAGAAAATAGTTTTTCATACGATTATCACCAACGTGGGGACCTTCTCGGTCGTCGATGCCGAATTTATTCAAATACCAATCTCAAACAACTAACATAATTTTATTATATGCACGAGGGATATTCTTATTCGTGATTAAGATTGTGAAAGTTGGTAACGAAATTTATGGTTTTCATTTGTCTAAGATGGAAGCAACATATTCCACAAAACCTACCAAACGAAAAGAAATGATGTGGATAGTTTTCACTGCTGAAAGAAGGATTTCTCACGACACAACAATAATTGAATAATTGAAGTGAATATGATGCCGCAAATGTTGCTTTATCGTAGTGGTGGAAAACAATCATGTCTATATATCATGGTGTGAGTTTGATCTTCACCCTTTTCCTCTAATAATTTACAAGTTAACCTATTAACGCTATTATTTCCTAAAAAAAAATTATGAATATGATGTCAGTTTAAAGTTGTGCATGTGTAATTTTAATTATTTCTATTAACTTAAGATCAAACATATGACTTTAATTCTGTTACTCAACAAGTCAAATTTTAATTTAAAGATTATTGCATAATATACTTTTACCATCACCCTGCATTCAGGTTCAAATAGGAATCGCAAAATGAAAAATCAGATTCTTTCCGTGTAATGTGGACGTGGAGTGCGTCGGCTAATGCCTGAAACAGATTCCATTCATGCTGCAAGTAGCAGCAAAAGAGAATATTGATTTCTACTACATTTTTGAAATCTATATTAAGGGAAGGGGATTCACAATATACTTTAATCCAAGTATTATTAGAGTATTCTTAAAAGAAATATTAAATGTAAAACATTAAAATGATATTTGATGACTTATACGATAATTGGACATTTTGTACGATTTTTTCTTCACTTGATATGTTAAATAAAAATGTTATTCTATAATTTATTTTCATCTCTTTGTAGGGTTTAACTATTGAGACAAATGATCAAATACTTAGAACACTCAACAATATTTATTATGATTTTTTTTTTTTATCAAGAAAAGAAATTTATTGAAAGGGACTACCCCAAGAACAACCAGTACCAGTATAATCGAAACGTAAAGCTTGGGTCGAATAGGCAGAAAGAGTGCCATACCAGATAAGAGTATTTGCACTACTGATACCTACACTTGTAATCACACCAGCGAGAACATATTCCATGAAATATTCTAAAGGCCAGACTTCTAATATCTTCAATAATTGTTTTGATTCTCCAAGAAACTCTAGACCTCCCTTCAGCCACCTCAATTACTAGTTCAAAGCCACCTTCCACGCGTAAGTTTTTAATAAATGTATAAGAAAAAGCACACAAAATAAAATCTAAAAACTAAAAACTTTTTCACCTCCATGATTTTGTTTTCCTTTTGTTCTTTTTTAGTCTTCAACTCTCTTCCATCAGCTTTTTGTCCCTCATTTCCTTTATATATATTTTCCTCATATCTCAAGTACGAAAAGTGAAAATCAAAAAATAAAAACGAAATATTCATTAAATAGACTATAAGTTATTTTGATTTTCTAGATGGTTGCATTAATTCTTCTTTGTTTATTTCCCCTCATTTCCACAGCCCTTCTTGTCACTTAAATTTATCGCAGTGGAGAAAAGTAATCATGTCTCTGTATCTTGATGCGGGTTTGATCTCCACTGATTCCCCATAGCAACTAAGAATTTAACCCATTAACGTTATTGTTTGTAAAAAAATGAATATGATGCATGACCACATTAAAGTTGTGCATCACGATAATGTAATTTTAATTAGAGAAACTTTGAATGCGATCCCTAACTATCAATATTCCTTGACTGAAACCTTGTCTGTTTTGTTTTTTTATCAAAGTCCTTGACATTAAAGTAATAGTGTAACACTATATTTTTTAAATTAAAAATTGAAATTTGTATTTGTTTATATGATAACCCATAATTTGTGGGATTAACAATAATAAAATATAAATTATACTCCCTATTATATTTTGTGTCTTACGTATATATATATGGTACCTTCATAAAAAAGTATTGTACCAAAACATGGGTACATTCTTCAAAACACAGAAAAAAAGAAGATATTAGGCTTAATAACATTAGTAAATTTCTTCGATTAAACTTGATATAGATACATTCTCAAATCAACGAAAAAAAATGTACCAATATAAGTTTAAAAATGGATTAAAATTTATGCATAGATTTTATATTAAAAAATTGGGTACATTTACATTTTATATTAAAAAATTGTACATTTTACATAT